TCTTTCAACTCTGTCTGGCAAGTGTTTGTGACCTGACCAGGCAAAAGAACCCAAGCGTTTGGTTGTTGTATCCCCCTGATATATAATCTCATTTCAGAATTGTCCTGTTATGTGGTTCATGCCCTGCATTTTGTGCTCCCGTCTTTTTACTGATGCTCAGCGGTAGAATAACATGCAGAATGAGTCACCGAGTTCTCTTACTGTCTGCTAGGCTGCCCGGAGGGGTTATATTGACAACTTCCCAGCCTGCGAGGTTCAATGCATCCCCTGGGGCTCTCAGCGCCAAATGGAACAAGAGTCCCCGGACACTCTTTTTGCTCCATAGCCCCACTGCACAGAAGAAAGGAAGCAGGTACACACACTCAACATGTTCCACACACCTCATTTATTCTCATTGCGAGCCCCCCCCGCTCCCTGCCCCCCTACTCTCACTTGCTGCTGCAGAGCAATAATCATAGGGTGAAAGGATGGACAGTCAGGTTGTCTCCCACCACATGTGATAATCCTGCCAGTGCAGTCGGAGCTCAGCTCTCACAGCCCAACTTGTTAGTTGGGCAGATGGAAGCGAAAGTGACTTCCTGCCGTACGGTCCCTCACATTAATACCTTTACTGCTTGCCTTCATTTGTCTCACACACACACACACACACACACACACACACACACACACACACACACAGTGAATAACAACCATATGCAGAGCTGTGCTCAACCCCCTGCGGTTGGTGCAGCCTTTGGGTGTCAAGACCAAGGTCATTTTTTTGAAAGTGACGCAGTTAAGTGTGATCCTTGAAGCTGGGGGTTAAAAACACCATCAAAGTTAGTCAAGTGTGTTTATGGGCGGAAGTGTGTGTTTACGGCAGCAAGAGAGAGTGAGCAAATAAGCAACAATTACTGTTTAAACTCCGTAGTCTCACCATTTGTGGCTTGTTTTGTGTTTAACAAATTTCTGATCTAGACATGAACATTTAACAGGAATTCAATCTCCACTCGGTGAGTAAGTGTCATAATGATATTTCAGGGTAAAATTCCACGTAAAATACGGTAGTGCCTTGAGATATGAGTGCCCTGACTTTTTCAACATATGAGCCAGTTGATAATCTTGCTTTGATGTGTGCTAAAACTTGAGATACTGCATGGTCAATATCTCACCTCACATTATACCAAGCATCAGTTTGGGGCATTCAAGCCGTTTAATGCTACTCCCAGCTTCAGTTTACTGTTAAACTAAACATAAAACAAAGATAATAACACATTAATACCTGTTTAACCAAAACACATAGCTTTGCCTTCAAAAAGTCAGTTTAGTTAATGTCAACATAACGAGCAATGCAAAATGCCATTGATGGGTCAACAAATATATGTCATTGGTGGTGTGGTGTTGTAAACCTTGAAACAATGGTTGTCAACACCTAAGGTGGAGCAACACATGTAGACAATAGTCACACATATATTCGTTATCCTCTGTGAAGCTCTACTAATATTGCCTGTGCTGTTGTATCCTGCGCTTGTGTTTGTCTCATGTCCTATATATATATATACACACACACACACACACACGTCTGTATTATACTGCCTCAAAGTGATGAAGCTGCATACACCATTACGAGCAGCATAATATCTATTGAATTAAGGAAAACAAAGTGGCAAAAATTGGTTATTTCTTTTCATTCTAATGAATTATGTCAGTAGAGTTGTTGTTGTTGTTACTTTTGTACTGTATTTCTAAAGTACAATATTTAAATAACACATTTCAAAAACATTTCGGCTTTCTTTTGGGAGGCTGGACTGGATTACTGGTAATCCCCCAAAATTCCGATGAGGAACGATGAGAGATACAAGTACCATGAGTGACAATCTTGGCATGAAGTCAATTCACATCTCAAGGCCTCCCCCGGTTCTGTCTGATTTCAAATGGAAGAAAAGGTGTATGTTGATGAAAATATGATGTATTGATGTCCGATACTAAAATGGTGAGCTTGTATGTTGTACTGTACATAAAAGGGACAACCCAATTATTTTCCTGCGTGGCCCCATTACACCTTCGTACTGACTAACTAAAGTCCATTGCACCGTATACCGTATGTAGAAAAGTTGAATACAATATCTCTTTTAGCATAAAATATTATGATTATACACAAATAAATGCCAAATAGTGTGCTCATTTTCTGCCAGAAGATCCCATTGTTTGTTTTGTTTGCATTTTCCACATATGGATGTATTAAACAACCATTCCGTAATTATATTTGGATCTTATAAATATTTAAATTGAATATTAACAGCCAAACAAAAACAGCAATCGCGTGAATATTTTACATAAATCCGTGCATACATTTGCAAGGGTTGTTGCTTCAATACATATGGTTGCAAAGCGTTCTTGGTAAATAACCTGAGCTCCTGACTGGGAGAGTCTTGTGGCTCCTCAGCGTGCAAGTGTTTATGTGTTGGTTTATGTGTCAGTATGAAGCGGGATGCCCGCTGAGAGCAAAGATGCTGTAAAACAGGCAACACATATAATTGTACTGCAGCGGGTGTCACTGAACGTGTCCCTTGGTGAATGCACATAAGGCACACAAATGTCAGCGCAGCCAAGCAGCAGGTTATGTGAGGCCTTAAAAAAATACTAACTAGAATAGCACTCAGTGGAGCTCATACTGCTGCCAAGATTGAACTCAACTCAACAAAACTAAAATTTGAAAATAAATAACTAAAATTCATGGTACGCAGTGTGCTTGTCAGACCATGTTGTGCCGGGCAGGTGTCACTGCAACCGGCGGCACGTGCTTTTCACTAGAATGATGCGGTATATAGCAATGATTTTGTCTCCATTCAAATACTCAAAAGCTAGAAAGAGGATTTTTTTTAAATGAGTTGTTTTCTTGTGTCCAGTCATTCGGTATTTTGTTTCCATCTTGTGCTTGTCAACCAATCAGCTCCCTCAGCTACTCGTGACTTGTATTTAGTTTCCTGGTTTCTTTCCGAGTTTGTCATATCGTTGTTGCAGTCACGTTGTTTTGTTTCTTCTAGTGGTGTTTTATTCAAACTTTGAGTTTTGTTCTTTTCAAGACTTTGTCAGTGCTTTAGATTTCGTTTGCCAGAGTACGCCTTGCGAGTGTTTTTGTGAATTCATTTTGTTCGTCACACCTTGCTTCTCCTGCTTCTTCCCTGCGTTTGGGTCCTCGACCGCTCATAACATGACCCCACCATTCAATATCAACACATAATTACTCGGCTTAATCTTGACTGCATGTAACCAGTATATGTGGTTAGGTCGGAGTGGGCTGACACTTCGGCCAACTCGGAAACTTTGCAGGTCTTTTTTGAACTTCAATGGGACAAGTCAACTATTGGCATGCTATGTATTGATGTTAAAACCTAGGGGCTACTGATGAGCTAATTGATTGAATGCCCATTAAACCTCCAACGGTGACTGAATGCCCCCGTTAACGGATGTGCTCTGGCCCCAAAACTGTCAACACCCATAAGCTTCTGATCCTTGAACAAATCACAGAATCACAGTGGTGTTTTCCTTTTATTTTAGTGGAAAATGGTGGGAGCCGGACCTCCAACCCCCCTAAAAAAATACAGACAATTTTGTGACTCCATTGAGGCAGGAGTCTGAGTACCTGCTTTCTTAACTTATCTCAACCATTCATGTCTTATACAGCTTCCAAGCCAGAGAGGTTGGCTTAGGCCCCTAAAACTAGGTCATGTGGGTCTCGGTTGAAAAAATAGTCAGTGGTGAGGTTGTTGGGATTCCAAAAAAATGTACATAAAGTGGTGTGTGGCTCGGGAGAATGAGGAGTGGAAAGGTCAGATCAGAACAGCGCAACCCCGTTGCTGGGGGACATATTTTTTGGACAACATGCCAGGCTCATAGAACCAGACTGTCAGTCTCTGCTCTGCATGGGTCGAGGCCAAGGTGGAGGCTGCAAAACCTCAAGGTCGTGGCCTGCACCTCTTCTGCTGACAGAAAGTGGGGATGGGGGAGTGGACGGGTGGGTCGGTCAGAAGGATCTGGATGCTTTCTACCATGCCAGCCTGTGTTAGTACATATCAATACAGAAGTACCAGTATATGTCCATTGGCTATGTCTTATAGGGAACTGATAATTGGTGTCAAGGAAAGCTGTTGAAGTGAGGCATCTTGACTGTTTTAAGATGTCTATATATCAGGAAGGAGCTAAGTTGAGCCGGGGTTGTTAACGGATGCGACAGACAGGCTTTGCTGGATGTGTGTGTTTTTGCTGTGCTGAGTGGCTATTTAAAAAGCTTGAGCTAATAAACAATGTCGGTCTTATTGACTGTCAATTGCTATTTTTACAAGTGGCAAAGCAATGACAAATGATTTAAAATCGGTAAAGCACGTTGAGTTACAAGCTATGTGTGAAAAGTGGTTTATAAATAAGAAATTGATTGATACGATGTGGAAAATATATGGATGGTTTGCAGTGGTATAGAATTGCATTGCATCATGCAGCTATTAAGCTGTTTTGAGAGGGAAGATAATTAGTTATAAAAAAATATATTTCAAGAAAAAAAACAAAATGTAAAAAAAAAAAAAAATCTAATATAAATAAGTTGCCAATATTCTGAAAAATGAGTTTTAATGACTCAATCAGTTAATCATGAGAATAGGGATGTTTTTTAAGCCATAAAATTACCAGAATAGAGTGAAACATGCTTCGTACTATGTCAAAATGAATACAGTGCATACCATATATTCATCAGTTAATGTCAATCATGTAAAGTGGTGAAAAATGTTTGGCAATCAAGCAAACCAACAAACTAAGCAAAGTCATTTCTTATAATTCTTTTCTTCAGTCGTATATTATTTTGGTTGTACAGTAGTTTGAAATAGTGATGGAGAACTGCATTGAAACCTGTGGAGACGTTTCCTATAATTTGGTGAACTTCTCATTAAAGTCTACTTTTCTTGATCAAACTCAATACAATTACATTTTTGACTCCATGAGATGAAAATATATCACTGAGGCAATTGTTTAGTTGAAACTTTTATTGCTTCCTAGCATTAAAAATCCCATTCCTCCATTGAAAAAGTTGTCTTTAAAATAACACATATGTGGAATTCAGGGGGAAAATAAATCATAATTTGGCATTGTAAACTGATGTAGAAGGTTTTTTTTGTTGTTGATTTTTTTTAACCACCTGCAACAACTTTGTTGCTCGATAGTTTTTGGCACAACAAATTAATCTTGACATTTGTAACATCTGATGGGTTTCTGCACAGAGGCACTCAACTACTTAAAATATAACACCACTCCTCTCTCAAACAACACACTTCTTTTTTTTTTTTTTTTAACTCTACTTCACTGCTCTCCACAAATCCTACGGTGGTTCGTGAAATATGAACCTTAACACAAATGAAGTAGGTGAGGTTTTTACTGGCACATCCATGCTATCAGTATTTGGGGCTGACGGTCCAAATCAATCAATGTGCTGCACACAATCTAGATGTGGAAAAGCGTACCCTTGATCATCTTTAGCTGTATTCACTAATGACATTTTAAAGGGAAGTGTCTAAACAACCAAACTAAATTTCAAGTGTAGTCCCAATGCAGCTCGTCTGTCTCACGGGCAAATAAAAAGCCGCCACACAAACATTTCTGCCATGTGCACCCATTAGCGATGTTCTCTGCAAAGTGCATATTTGGAACTAAGTGCTCTGCAAGATGTTGTTTGGCTCATCGTGTTCTCTACGTGGTAATACACTTACATTCTAAACATTGTTTAAAAAGTCTGCACTTAATATCCCACACTAAGATGGAAAACTTTTTTTTTGTTGTTGAATGGAGGGGTCACTTATGTAAACTAGATGATAAATTATTATAAACATAAATACTCTGACAGCGGTTATAAAAAAAGTTACATTTCTTGAGAACACAGAAAGGAAGCATTTAAAACAGCCAGCAAAAATAAGCTTTGTGGTTAGCATTCCATAGTTGAATTCTGTGTTAGCATTCGCTGCATTCAAGGAACATTTGACAAAATAAATAAGTAAATAAATAAACAATCTTTGCATTGGTCATGTTTTTTTTTTGTTTTTTTTTTTTAAATAACAGTACCATGAGTTTTAGCTGGACAGTGAATTGTTAAAATAGAGCAGTTACAATGTGAGCGGAGGGACAAGTCCATTGTTTTCTGTTATTTGGGGTGAAGGCAAAGTTAGTGGGATTCTGACAGCAGTGCCAAGACTGAAAAAAGCGTTGACTGTCCCAAATCTATTGGCTTTTGCTGGTCTGACTCAGGGCGACAGGCCACGGTAGAGTGTCCATCAGGTGTCCAGAGCTGTTCAAAGTTAAGAACCTTTCTGGGAGTTTGTCTAGAAGAAAGTCATCGGAAGCAGACTGAGGTCAAAAAGTGAAAGTCTCTGAAACCGACATTACCACGATGACCTCAGAAGTGTCCCATTCCTGCGGCAAAACGGCTGCGTATGAACGGCACGGCTCTGGACACGTGGCCAAAGCTGGACGAAGGCCACTTTACGATGAACTGGGAGGTCACTGGCAGGAGATACCTGGACAGACGGAGCGACGGAGGGACAAGGGGAAAGGACATGACATAATGAGAGGATTAGCGATACGAGAAGTCACACTTTAGAGGTCAGGATGCTCAGCACCGACATCCAACCTTGTATTATCACGACACTCGCAATCTTCTACTTTGACACTCTTGTGCTTGCGTGCATTTGAAATGATACTAAGAAAGCAACTTGAACTTGCACGCTTAATTTCCTACATATCATGAACGGAAAATCCTCACCTATCATTCCGCGGCACAGGCGTCAGTACCTTTCTAAGACTTTCCTATGACACCTTCCACCGAGACAGAGCAGTGAGGCAGCTCCTGCTAACAGCGTTCCAGTACCTGAGAATGAGACCAGCGTCAGGTTGAGATAAGAGTCAGGAGGGCCTGAACCTTCTCGCCATCCTCCTCAGTTACTGGAAATGAGTCAGATATGGTTGTCAAAGCAATGTCAGATGAGATGATTAAATCCCGGCTATGGTTCGCTGAAGGTTATTCAAAATGTCATGGTAGTCAGACAACACGAGACAGTGCCGAGGTGGAATTCTTCCAGACGGGTCATTTGGAAGAATGCCTCACATTTGATCTCACATTTGATATCTGTGACATATCTGCACTATCAACAACCAAAGAACCTAAAACCTCATGTAGTTAAACAAATACAACGGTCCGTAGAAACAGTCCCAGTTGAGGAGCTTCAATGTGTGTTAGTCGAAACAAAGGGGAGCCATTTAGGATTGTACGGACGATGAAGAATTATCTTCTTTTAAGCTGGTGAGGAGTGAGCACAATTTTCTCTGACAGCTCTCTTTCTTTGGCAAATAGCTTTCAGACAAATTAGCTGGGCAGCTTCTTTCTAATGTCATCCGGGAAAAAAAAGAAAGTATGTCGCTGAGGGCGTTCACTGCAGCCTCAGACCCAAGAGAGTTAGGATGGATTCAAATTAACTTCACTTAGTCCATCAAGTGTCCTTGAAATGGCTTCAAGTGGGCCGTTGGTATCCCTTCAGCACATCCTCCACTATGATTGGACTCCGTGAACAGCTCAGTCCAGTTGTTCATTTGAAACAAACCAAAAAAAAAAGGTTTTGTACATTTGTGTGTTTTTGTGATTTGGTATCTTATCATGTCTTTGAACTGGCTGCTAAATGCTGCTGGAATTATTAATTCCACTGAAAGCTAAGCCAGGCATGTAAACCAAGGTCAAATTAATAAGTACAAAAAAAAATCTGATATTGAATAGCCATGGGGGGTTGTGTGCGTTCACTGCTCTGCTCTCCGATTCACTTTGAGCCTATTCTGCCCATAGAAAGAATCACAGTAGTGGTAGTCGTGCATATCTGACATCCATGCAGCCCTCTGTCACTGCTGGTTACATTTAATTGGAGCCTCATTCGTCATCTCCCAGGTCCAGACTCACTTTGATCACGAAGAAGATCTTGGTAACAACGCTCTGCTGTCTTGAAAGCTTGGGGGAGGCTTCTCATGCACTTCTGGTTTCATCCATCAGCTGAGGCAGAAATCTACTCTCTAGCTCCAATTCTTACATTCACATTTAAACAGTAAGAACTGACAGGCCTTCCATGCCACTCCACGCAACTGCCATGTTGAATTAAGAGGCCTAACACACAGATTTACAATCATGAAGGATAAAGGCGGTGGGGGCTGCTATGATAGCTGACGCAATCATAGACCAAGTGCTACAAAGAGGCTTGAAGGTTATCTGCGTCCCATATTCGACTCGACACCCCAATTAACCCTAATTACTTCTCAGACAGATGAAGGTTCACAGAATCTTAAACTTTTGTCATCACGGTAAAAAAAAAAAAAAAAGAGAATTGTCTTTGGGATAGAGGCATATAATTTTGGGTTTAACAAGGAAGTCATTAGTGGATCCATTTGGCCGGTTCCTCTTATCTGCCCACACAGGCTGAAGGACTTTTTCTGAGGCTCACAAGCTTGTTGACACACCTGGTCAGGGCACTCCGCAGGGAAGGATGCTTGAATGAGGAGGCAGGTGTGGTCAACAACAGACAACCTCAAGAGCCCAGCAACAGAATCATTTGGCTGTGCGCCAACAATGGGCTTGAATGTTTCTTGTGCTGCCCGCGCATGTATACAACAGAAATGCTTTGTAGAAACTCATCTCAAGTCTAGTTTATCATACAGTATTTGGCAATTTGGAAGACCGCCATTGTCAGGGTGGCTATCAGCAGTTTTGGGAAACTGTTATTTTCTTGAATGGCCGATGTATTGCTGGGCCGGTCCTGGCCATCAGCGGCCGCTAGCAATCAATCCGGGCACAGGCAGACAGGTCTGCGTTCCACTGAAATGTGTGGTGGTTGTCATTGTATTCATAAATATGACATCAGTGCGCATCAAACCCTCTCGCTCATTGTACAAATCAATTCATTGCATGCATTACGGTCGTGATTACGATCTTATATTTCATATTTTCAAAAGCACTATATTCACACTTGTCATTGGAAATCATTTTCAGTGATTCCGTTGAAGTTATTTGGATGCCATTGTCTGTATATTTTCATTTTGTTGTCTCATTCACAAATTTTTATCCACACTTGAGAGGCTTGGTGAGTTTCGTGAAACACCGAAACCAGAGTAGAAAATGTGAGCCAGGCCTTGTTTCAGGTTCAATGTCAATGACGTCTAACTTACACAAATGCGCCCCCCCCCCAAAAAAAAAACATCCACAAAAAATATTGTCGAAAGAAAGGAAGCTATCATAGCTGCAAATTAGGGGAAATACCTTTTTAGGTCTGGACAGATTGCCCAGGCAACAGTCCAGCTGCCTTTCGGAATTCAAGCCATGATTATTTGTTGTTGTTGGGGTTTTTTTCCCCCCAAGCTTTTTAAAAAAACAGTCTCATACCAATATGCAACAGCCAAATCAAGGCAAGTCAAACAACAACAAATATCAACTCTATACGGACATGGCATCCATAAAAGAGCTCAGATGAAATGTACCTGGAAAGTGTATGCTTGGCAGAACTCGTTGGAGGTCAACCCAGTAACACAAACACTCTTTATTAAGACAATTGATGTGGTGCAAAGTGAGGCCTTCATATCAAATGCACTCAGGCAAAGAAGCAGTTAGTGAAAAGCTCAGTTTTAGCATGTGGCAGCAGGGTGACACACAGCAAGCCAGACCTAAAGGTTGCAGCATTGACAAACTCCAAACACGTCTCAATATGCCTTCCTCTCCTTCCCTTCAAATATTGTGTATACACATTTTGGAATTGATTTTAAAACACATTTTAAATTCCAAATGGACCATTGCTTCAATGAGAGGAAGGAGAGGAAACGGTGCTAGACTTTTGGTGCTGAGGGGCAGGAGGGAGCAAGTGTACAATCTAACAGTGACAAGCAGAAGGACGTGATCAAGGGACGGTGCCGATAGATGAGGGGTGGGGTTTAGCGCAACTAAACCAAGCAGAGACCTGCATCGGGGGGCGAAGAGACGGAGGAAGAGGAAGCGGCAGCGACAGCAGCAGAGGTAGAGCCATGGGTAGAGGCTGGTCCAGCAGCAAATGGTACTCTTGTTTTTTTTTTTTGTTGTTTTTTTCCACATGAACATATACAGACAGAACAAATCAGGAAAGACAAGCACATGCATGCTTGAATAGAATCTTCAATTTACACCCTACTGCAAAAATAGAGATACATCAGCAATTTCTTTTTTCCTGCTTGCTTCAATTATTCATTCCCATTAATCTATTAGGTGTTAATAGTTTACATGAGACAAAACAATGACAGCAATATGTGATTATTCAAGCCCTTTGTGGTTCTACAATGCGTGGAATGAACACAAGGCTCACATTGTTCTTTAGTTTTTACACTCTAGGTGCTAAGTGATAGCCTGTTAAAATATGTGTGAGAGTTATGAATCATGTAAAACGAGGCCCCGGGAAAAGAGAAGCTCTTGCTCTCATAGGGTCATTTGCTACACAGGCTCATCTGGGCTCTAATTGAATTAAGCAGGCCTCGGGAGGGGGGGCCCGGGCTAACCTGAGCACTAATCTGTGGACCATTTTTTCCTATTAACAACATGCTCATCCTCCCCACTCCCCGCTCTCTCCTGTGTGCTGGCCCAAAGCATATGCGCTTTAAAAGTTGACTCACTAAACCTGAGCGGCTGCTTTCCTGCGGGGATCAACCTGAGAGAA